TAAGTTTCTCTAGATTAGCAACAAATCCGCTACTCAGCTGTTTCAAATGTCAACAAGAGCAATGGCCGCCATCAAATTAGGCTTAGCGGCACTTAAACAATTTTAAAATTGTTGATAATTCTAAAAATATTGCATACAGATTTACTAAAGGCATAAAACCCTTAACCGGAAGATAAAAACAACATAATTAAATCATTTTTAAATCAAAAAATGTACAATTTACAAACATATAAGAGTAAAGAAACTGAGATCACTGAGCCGGGTAGCAGAGTGGATATATTTATAAATATATTTTTATACGTTTGGCGCGGCCGATTGAAACCAAAATACGAGGTGCCCATCTACATGTTATAGTAGTCTTATATACAAAATTTGAACGTTCTGAGGCTACTCGTTTTTGAGTTATGCGAGATACGTACGTGCGTACGTTCGTTCGTGCGTACGTACAGACAGACGCCGTTCGTTATGTTAGATATGTTAGATATGTTAGTTATGTTAGATACGTACGTACGCACGTACGTACATACGTTCGTACAGACGCCACGAAAAATTCTCTTCAGAATTCATTTTAAAGCAGTTTTTTAGTTTATTTTTTGGAGGAAAAGAGTCTTTTATTCTGTCCTAACGTACAGATATCACGCAAAAACATTGTTAAATTGCATTCGAAAGCGGTCAAAGTGGATATTTTCGTTGAAATATGCTGCCTGAAGCTTTTCGCGATTACAATACTTCCTTTTTACTTCGTACAAGGAAGTAAAAATCTGATGTGGATTTCTTGCATGGAATATTAAATTATACTCATTTTTGTCTTACATTTCATTTAAACCTATTGGATTGAATTAATTCTACTTTGTCGATAGCGCATAAACCACAATCGAATAAATGCACTCTTGAAAATTCACTATACTTATTTACCATATCGACACACTCACAGGCGCTAGGTTCACTTAACAATGTTATATTTCATTCATTTTATTACTTAGAATGCACAAAATTTATTTCACCTGAAGAATTATCTAATCGTTGCCACATGTTCTGTTCAAATACTATAATACATCTAAAACGGTGCATGAAAGAAATTAAGCAAAAAAACTTTTCACAGACGATTCAGTATTTCTCATTCAATTAATTCAGTTCTCACTTCCCGCGAAAGCAAAAATACATAAAAACTCAAAATTTTGTATTAACCCCAAAGTAATTATTTCGAGATATGAAATTATTATATTCAATTAAACGCTCGAAAAACGTAGAAAATTTGTGTGACCTTTATTCATATTATTTGCATGTTCATCAAATTTTCGCATTTGGAAAAGTTAATTTTTTTAACATAACCACTAGGTTTACACAATTGCGAAATGATGTTACCTTTTATTTGAAGCAAAAATTGTGGGACTGTACGAAATGTAATTTAAGCTTTTTGGTACTGCATAAGACATTATCTCTACCTGTATGGGTCTAAAAGAATGATTTTGTTATACGTATTTCTGAAATGTATTAATATTAATGTATTAATTTCCTTTTTAATAAAGATCAAATTGTAAATACTCATATCTGCTGACTAAGTACTTCTTAACAACATTCTGTTGTGTGTTGTTTTTAAATTTCCCTTGCCACTGTTGCCACCTGAAATATATCTGTGATTTATTTTTGACCCAGCTGGGAACAATCGATTGTATGTTGCTTGGCAACGCCTCCATTCTTTTCGAATTAGGATTCTAAACTTCGAAGATTTGTATAAAATTAGATGTAGCACGTGCGCCATTAGTTGCCTTGCCACGTAAACTGACTGTTTTCTCCTTTAAAGTCCATGCCCCCCCCAAAAAAAATTCTTTTATATATATTCTTTATTAGCAAAGCAAAAAATCGGGAGAAAGCTTTTACGAATTGTCTGCATCAAATTTATATGTATTCTTGATCGATAAAATGTTGCCTTTAAATTTTATTATTTTTTAGCTCAGATTTCGGACTATAATATTTTAATAAAAGCACTGCTTTCGGGATCGAATCCATTTTGTCATTTGGAAACGCGCAATAATTATAAAATGTAAACCGTACATGAAGCTCGGAAGATGAATGAACTTACGATTAATTATTTTACAAAATTTCAGAAATCTGAAAGCTCAACTTATGAAGAACCATTCTAGCTCAAAAAATGTGTATACGTATGTAATGGACATCTGAGTTTAAGAATGTCGGTATGTTTGAATGTTTGAGTAAACGTTTTTTGGAAGGAACGGGATACTTTCGTTATGAATGCATTATATCTAACGTCTTTTGATGATTATTTCGAAGGCCTTCTGTACTTCTTTTTACTTCACTACACAATTTCTAATCAATTATTCTGTATATTCGAGTTTGCACCTGGAATTAAATTTCTCTTTTCCTATCACGCAAATATTTCCTGTTACGCTCTTAAAATTTCTTGTTATTAATTTACAATTACATATTCTACCATTATTCTCTTAGTGATTACTTTCTGACAGGAATCTGGACCAAAAAAATTCACTTTATTGACTTAATTATTCTTAACTAGCAGCTTCGCTGCCAGTTTTAGAACGTAATTCAAAACAGCTAAAGAACGCTAATCGGCGAATTCTCTACAATCAACAAGAGCAGTTTTCTAAACAACAACAAACTAAGCAACTCCTACAAACTGAGATGTTTTCCTCCTTTTATAAGATTTTAAAATCACGCGCTAGAATTTTCCAGTACTTTCTCGAAATCAAAAAGAGATATTTATTTATTTAATGCACGCGCTCTTGTATTTCATTTTCAATTTTCCTGCTTAGCTTTCTTTTAATATTCGTCACGCGCTGCACTGCGCGAGAAATAAAACCATTTAATTTATAATTGAACTAACATTAGCTTTTTAAATACCAAATTCGTAACAATATGTGGATATTAAGGCACACCAACGTACAAGAATTGGGTTTTCAGATATAGGGAATTAAAAAGTTAAATTAATAATCATTTAAAATTCTGGCGTAGCAAGTGCATTAGCTGGAAGTTTTAGTGTAAAAAATCAATAATCATAGATATTAAAATTTTTTTCTCTTCTTAACCCAAAGGAACGCGAGACTGAAAGGCCTATTAACGGCATTTTCCGCTGTCTCACATTCTGCGCTGGTTCACTTTTCACACTGCTGCCACCAAATATCCTGTGTTACGTTTAAAGGAACTAAATAAGGAAGAATCTGCACAAATGTATGTATGTTTCTCGCACTGTGAAAAAACAGCGGTAACTAAAGCCATCCAGTTTTGAATAACGTAGTCTTCCAATCGAACATGGGCACGTGGAAGTCTGAATTTTGAATTCCCGATTTGTTTTATTATCTATTTGAAATTTTGTAAAACCTAAATGAATTTTTGATTAACAAACTCGACGATTTCAAAGAGAGGCATGGCAACACTGTACGAAAATAAAAATCATTTTTATCTCCAGCAAGCGAGACTGTGTTTCGGAAATTCTAAAAATGTGCTGTTTTTAAATATTTTCCGGTATTGCTGCTGAATTGAATTTTATCTTGTTTAAGTGCGAAGGACATGGTATTAATAAATAAACGTAACACACAAAAAAGTTTAAAAAAAAACTAGTTTGGCCGTAATATAAAATCTGAAATGTTTCGAATTTTCTCTCTTTTAATCCAAAGGGGCATTTTGTTCCTCAGAGACTATTGTTTTCGTTTTGTGATTTTGCTTCGAATCACTCTGAATGTCCGTTTCACTTTTCAAACTGTTGCCACCGAATATTATCGTACTGTATTATATTTGAAGAAATTAAATAAAAAAGAATCTGCATAAATGTATGTATGTTTCGCGCATTGTGATAAAACAACGGTACATTGAGCCATCGAATTTTGAATGACGTAATCCTACTGCAAATATGGGCATGTGGAAGCCCAAATTTGAAATTTGAAATTTGTTTTATTATTGATTTCATATTTTGTAAAACTTTAACCAATTTTCGATTAACAAACTCAAGGATTCAAAGCGAGTCATGGCAACGTTATACAGAAAAAACATTTTTATCTCCAGCACGCGAGACTGTGTATCGATTCTAAAAAAGGCTCAATTTAATTTTGTGGTTTTGGGAAGAACATGATATTTAATAAATAAAGGTAACACACAAAATGTTAAAAAAGCGCCCCTTTGGACGTAATTTAAAATCTGAAAATTTTCAAATTTTCTTTTTAGTTCAAAGGGGCTTTGTCCCTGAACGCTTTTGTTTTGCGATTTTGCGTCGAATCATTATAAATGGCGTATCACTTTTCAAATTGTTGCTAGCAAATTTTAGAGTTCTGTATTGTATTTGAAGTAATTAAATAATGAAGTATCTGCATCAATGTATGTATGTTTCTCGCACTGTGATAAAACCTAGAGCCATCCAATTTTGAATGACGTAATCCTACTGTGAGTATGGGTATCTGAAAGCCCAAATTTGAAGTTTGGAATTTGTTTTATTATGGATTTCATATTTTGTAAACGACTTTTTGATTAACAAACTCAACTTAAACCGAGCTATGGCAACACTTTACGGAGGAAAAGAAAGCTTTCTATCTGCAGCGCGCGGAACTGTGTATCAGAAATTCTAAAGATATTCGGCGTGGGTGGTACTTTAAAATTATTTTGCGACATTGCTGTTAAACTGAATATTATGGTTCAAGTGCAATGAAAATGATATTTAATAAACAAATGTAACGCACAAAACGTTAAAAAAACACCCATTTGGACGTAATTTAAGATCTGAAACCTTTGAGATTTAAATTTTTTTATTGTTGTTATTATTTTTTTATTATTATTATTATTATTTGAAAATGGAGATTAATTTCGAAAAAAAATAATTTGTACCCAGTTCCAACAAATAATATAATATTCGTGAGTAAGTAGTTTAATTTAAATAATCATTTTTTTAATAGGAAAACCGACTATTTGAACTCAGCCTGTTACGTACAAGCAAGTATTTTTTATTACTTTTAACACAATCTTTATTTTTTATGTAGGTTGTATTTACCTCCAGATCGTATTTCCGCTTCATTAAGAAGTCTAGTTTGAAGTTATGAGACATGTTAATATAACTCGAAATAACATAAACAAAAGAAAAGCTTAACTTTAACTTCTTCGTCATCATTTGTTGCTATTCTTAGATTCCGAAATCATAAAAAATAATTACAGACCAAATACTTATCAGGTTCAATGTTTCTTCTAACCTTCTTCGGAAACATACAATGACCTGACTAGAACAGAGAGCTTACTAAAGCTATGTTCACTAATTGTAGTAAGTAGACAGGATACAGACGAAGGGTATACAAAACCCTTTATTTTTTCTTTATATACAATGACTTCCGTACTTCGGAATACAATGACCCTCCACTCGGGGTCTAACTTAAAAGATATCAAAATAAAACTAAACTCTAATTTAACTTTAGAATAAGATTGGCCTTATAATAACAGGAAGCGTATGTAGCACAGAGACTGTGAACACTACAATACGTTTAATTTATCAAGAGGATTAAAACCTCTGGCCTGGAAGGCAAAGTAGCAACTGCGTAACTTCTAAGGTAAGCGGCCTGCTTCGAACTCACGGCTTCCTCTCTTCTGCTTGGCAAAAAGGCCACACTTAAATACTTGGCGTTCGCCAGACAACTTTGCATAAACTCCTTCACGCTTATAATTCTGGCCGGAAGTAGAAAATAAGAAGTGATAGTAAAGATTTAAAATAAAATAAACGTTAGTAAAACTTAAGATCCTTACATACTTCCCGCCAGAGTTAATTAGTTTGAAACTGAGGTCTAAAACGACCTTGTTGAAAACTTTTAGCTCTAGAAACTAACGCGAGGCCAACCTTTTACAATCATAACTTAGCTAGAAACTAGAAAATTTAAAAAAGAAAGAAATTTGTTACAATAGCAGCTCCCGGAATATACAACAATCTTTTTTCTTTTTCATCTGTACTGCATCTAAACAGGAGCTTTATTCAATTCTGGTTCCTTCCAGAGATCTGGAAGGAAAACTAGTTTAATGAAATGTTACAGAATGACATTGCAAATAACATATAGAATATACTTTCTTAACATTCTTATTTCATTCATGACTATTTTAATTATCTCTCCCCGTGCTCTCTGACATGTGTTGTAAAAGAACACCAAACACGAATGTGTTTCTGTCTACGTGTTCCAACACTTCCTCCTACAATCAAAACACTAACGTGTTAAAATTCAACATACGAGACCTCTTAACACACACCCTAATTTCAACTCTAGAACCCTGAGGTACTATTCTGAAAGTGGCTAACTCTAAAGTGTAGCGTCAGAGAGCCTAACTACATCATTCAACCTTTAACACATATTCACCATGATTTAATCTTTACAGTCACACGAATAACAAATTTTTAACATTACTTTCACTTTTACCATATCACGGTATTTCTTAACATTCAAAATAACAGTTCACATGTATACAAGAACATATCAACATGATGCCGTTAATTTTACACATTTGAAAACATACATTAGTAGTACATTGTTAACTTCTATTCTTTTCAAAGCAAGTGCCAATTCTTTCTACATTGAAATAATACTACATTTCAAAAAGTCTTTCAGACTAAAACTTCTTTCTTGTTAGAATGTTTTAAATAAAATTTATACAATAACTTTTTACAATATTTAAGTCTTTATACAACGCTATTATACATCAACTTTAGTTTTACGCGCGAGTAATTGAAAAAACATAATAAGAAAAAATCGGTCACAACTCATTTCTCGCCCTTTTGGCGATAAAGGTAGACCTCGCATGAGGTAAAACTTCTTGAAATCTGCCACTTGCAGTAAGAATGAAAGATTAACTTAAGTTTGTAAAGTAACATAAAATTTTACTTATCTTTGTAATATTCAGACATCCTTTTCTGGGCCCAGTCTTTAAAGGTGCTGCAGACCGTAGCTTGGTTGATCCTCCTTCTTGTACGGGCTCGCCCTTCAGTGCTTTCCTCTGGAAGCTTCCGTTTTTCACCACTACGGCCCACCCTTGAACATCTTCCTTTTGTCCTCTGCTTGTGGTCTTGGCCGTTTGAAGGCAGCTGGTCTTGGTGGAACCGGGAAACTTCTGTCGTGATCCTGCTTGGACCTCGTTGTTGGCCGTTCAAATTTTTCTTGTACTTTTTCCTCCGCCGCCGCTGATGGCCCTTCCGCAGTTCGGCGACTTTTGCTGCTGCGGAGAGTTCTGTCGGATGAGTCAATCTTCCGTTTCACAGCCGGGTTATAGTTGCCGTCCTTTCTCCCGGTCCTCTTCACATACGTCGTCCTTCTCCCTTCTTCATTCTGGGGGTGTTCGTGAACTCTGTTTTCTGGACGGTGGAACGGCTTCTTTTTCTTTGTACCTTCAATTTTTCCGCGGGGCAATTTTCTTTTCACTTGCTTCTGTCTCTCATTGGCTTGCCCTTGTACTTGTCGTTTTCCCACCTCTGGAACTTGTACCTGCGGTGTCTGCCGTACCGGATCCTGCAAAAGATCTGAAAAGATTTGCATTTTATTACGATCGAAGTAGGGCTTGATTTGATCAATGTTTGCGGAACAGGTTTCACCATTTCTTTCTGCCTTTAACACTACAACAGCGTGAGTTATTTTTTCTATAACATATGGTCCTTCAAAGCGTGGAAAAAATTTGGCAGTTTTATCTTCTGGTGCTGAAGAAAGTGAATGCTTAATTTTTAGTACTTCATCCCCTACTTTATAAGTTACTCCCCGTCGTTTCAAGTCATAATACAATTTTGTTTTCTTTGTGCTACTTCCGTATTCTTTTTTGCTTCTTTTATTAGTTTTTCTATATCACCCATTTTAAATTCTGGGGCTCTTTGTTGCACATAAAATAGTTTATCTAACGGTGTTATAACCTTTCTTTCTGCCTAGAAATAACTCAGCAGGAGTTTTGCCCGTTGTATCATGTTTTGCGGTCCTAAGGGCGAAAGCAAATTCATTGACATAGTTATCCCAGCTTTTATGAAAATTTTTTAACATAACTACGGATAATTTTCACTATATTTCTGTTGACCCGTTCCGCTATATTTGATTGCGGCCGATACGGGACCATTTTTAAATGACGTATGCCCAGTTTTTTGGCACATGTCTTCAAATATATTACTTACAAATTGAGGACCATTATCCGATATAACTTTTAGGGGCGCCCCGTATTTTAAAATATATTTATTTAAAATAGAATCGGTAACTAATTTCGCGGAGGCTCGTTTTAAGGGAACAATTTCGGTCCATTTACTAAAATGATCAACCATAACAAGGAGATAGCGACTTTTGTTTAACTGACTTTTTGGGAAAGGGCCCAATAAATCGATGCCGATTATTTCATTTGGAAATTCGGATTTAATACTATTTAGAAACCCGGCCGGGCGGAAATTAATATAATTAACGGCTTGATTGACATGTTGGGCAGGACTGGACATACGCCCTTGTTAACTTTTGCAGTTCAGGAAAGTAGACTGCCTCGCGTACGCGTTGGATAGTTTTTTCGAATACCAGCATGAGAAGCTAAAGGGCTGTCATGGAGCTCTTGCAGGATATTTAATCTAAGACTAGCTGGGATAACAGGTCGAAATTCGTTGTTGGAATTCGTAGTTTTTGTATAAAATAATAGACCATCTATTAGTTCGTAATGGGCCGCCCTATTTCTTATCGCCACAATATCTTGGTGGCTAAAATTTTCAGGATCCTTCAAATACTCATAAATACTTCCAAACTCAGGATCCTTACCCAGTTCGGTTATTACAGTTTCTCGGGAATTTATTGTACACGCTGTCAGCATTGCAACTTTTACGGTATTACCCTGTTCGTCTAATTTAATTCGTGATAGGGCATCTGCTACGATATTTTCCTTTCCGGGGGTATGCTTGATTACCAGATTATATTCTTGCAGCTTGAGTGCCCATCTTATTAACCTTGGGGATAAATTTTTTTCCCAGAGTACAATCTAGTTACCGCCGCATGATCAGAATATACTGTTATCGGCGCCTTTCCAAAATAGACTCGGAACTTTTGCACTGCTAACAGAACTGCAAGTGCCTCTCTCTCGGTCGCGGAATAGTTTCTTTGTGTTTGATTTAAAGTTCGGCTAAAAAATGCCACTGGGCTGCTGATTTTGCGAAAGTACCGCTCCTACCGCATAATCCGAAGCATCCGCTGAAATTTCTAAATTTTCATCCTTTTCAGGAAATTTCAACACAGGGGCTTGCGTTAATGCTTGTTTTAATTTTTCGAAAGCACTATTGGCTTCGGCCGTCCACGAGAATCTTGCCTTTTTCCTTTTTAATTTTAACAATGGCTCAGCGATAGCCGCAAAATCTTTTATAAAGGACCTATAATATGAACAAAGTCCTAGAAAAGAAGAGAGCTTCTTTGCCGTGTTTGGAGTCGGATACTTTTGTACAGCGATTATTTTTGATTCATCTGTCTCGATCCCTTTTTGCGATATTTTGTAACCTAAATATTTTAATTCAGGGGCTGCAAATTTGCATTTTTCGACATTAACTTTTAGACCGGCCTCATTTAATAAAGAAAACACCTGTCTTAAATCCTGTACATGTTGGTCTAGATTATCACTAGTAATAATGATATCGTCTAAATAGATAAATGTGGACTTTCCGAAGAACAGGTCTTAACACAATGTCCATGCATCGCTGAAATGTTGCTGGGGCGCCCTGAAAGGCCAAACGGCATTCGCAAAAATGCATAAGTGCCAGACTTGGTTATAAAAGCAGTCTTAGGCACGTCCTCAGGCCTGATCCCTATTTGAAAATAACCATTCGTTAAGTCTAAAGTCGTCATAAATTTGGTTGATTTTATGTTCCTTAAAATTTCTTCTTCTATAATCGGTAACGGATATACCGGATATTTCGTTATGGAATTTAATTTACGGTAATCAATAGCGAATCTCCACCTTTTTGGATGCTCCAAAGGATAATCATTATTTTTCTTACATAAAACCACCGGACTAGCTAGCATAACTACTTGAGATAGGGCGTTATGATCTTTTTACGTAGCATATCGGTA